CGAGGTCCACGAGGAGGAGGCTGCCCGCCACTGGGCCGAGTCCTTGGGGTTCGCCATCGACGGACTCACTGGGGGGCATCGCCCTAGCCCTGCCAAGGCGCGGCGCCTCCGCCAGGTCTGTCGTCGCGTGAGCCGCCAGCGACCCTGGCTCAGCGGTCGTCAGCTGGAGCGGCTCATGGGACATGCTGCTTTCCAGTTTCTGGGGCATCGGCCGCTGCTCTCTATCTTCCGCAGCTGCTACGTCTTCGCGCAGTGTCACTACCTCCAGCCGCGGCGGCTCTGGCTGACCGCCGCCGAGGAGCTCCGTGCTGCCGCCGCTCCGCTGCCCTTTGCGCGGGCCAACATGCGGCGACCCTGGGCTTCGGAGGTGGAGGTTTTCGACGCTAGTCTTGCTGGTTGCGGAATCATGACAGCGACCCTGCCGAAGGATGTGGTCTCTGAGATCGGGAAGGTCGATGAGGTGGCGCTACGCTTTCCAGTGCGAACAACCTGGCGGGCCTCGTGGGCACGCCCTCCGTTCAGCTCCCCCCGTCGAGGAGTGTTTCAGCAACGCGGAGACCGTTCTCCCTCTCGACTGGTCTCGGCGGCGGTGGCAGCCCGTGCAGGACTTCCCGGAGGTCCCAGCTTCCATTTTCCAGGACTTCGACTGGCGCGAGTGCGTGGCTGGCCGCTGGAGAGACGAGGAGCATATCACAATGCTTGAGGGACGCACAGGGCTGATATCTGTGCGGCGCACTTGCCGTTCGCTGCTCAACCGAGGCAAGCGACATCTCAAGATAGGTGACAATCTGGGTATGATCCTTGCTTCCGCCAAGGGGCGGGCAGACAACTTCGGCCTGCTGATGCTCTGCAGGAAAAAGTGCCGCGCTCACCGTCGCTATGGACATGGCCATTCGATGGCGCTGGATTCCTTCAGAGATCAATGTCGCTGATGCCGCCTCCCGTCGCTATCTTACAGAGGATCACCGCAGCCGCGAACGAGGTCTGGCCCGTCTCAAGCTTCGTGGAGGCTCGGGCCTGGGGCCGCCCGCGGCTGTTCGCGCGGGTGAGGGGGCGACTGCTGCCGCCTAAGGCCAAACGGTCCCATGGCGAGGCATCTGCTGGTCTCCCGCGGGGGCCCGCCGGCGGCCGCCCAGCCAAGGGGCCGCGGGTCTCGGGCGTGCCGCCGGCGCCGCCTCACCAGGCGTGCTCCGCCCCCCGCGAGGTCAGCCGGGGGCCGCCGCCCCCGACGCACCGCCGCCGGCCCTGGGCCGCCTCAGCTCGGGCGCTGCCAGCCAACGCTGGCTGGCGCCGCAGGCTGCAGACCCTGGCGCGGCAGGCGCGGGCGAGGACCCGCCCGGCGGCAGTCAAGGCGGGAGACCTCGAGATGCAGGAGGAGCTCGAGCTGAAAGGGATCAGGGTGAGCCTCCTCGAGATGAAGTCCGTCGGAAGGCAGTCGATCCCCTACTATCTCCAGAAGTTCGAGGAGTTCTTGGACTTTGTGGTCGCCCACGTTTTCGACCTCCACAAGGACGAGGACGTAGACGAGGTGTGGGTGCCGCTGATGGACCCGATGTACTTCGATGGGTGGCCGGCCGACCAGGGCGGGAAGCTGCTCGCGGCAGTGAAGCTCGGGATCCCGCGCTTCTCCAGAGCGGGGCTGGGCGGCCTGCCGCTCGCGGCCCGCGCCCTCGGCGGCTTTCTGAGGGCCGCCCCCGTGGCCTGCCGCCTCGGCCTTCCGCAGGCGTGGGTCGTCGCGTACATCGCGGCGATGCTCTGGCGCGGGAGGCTGGGGAGCGCCCGCCGGGCGTTGGTGATGCACGACGCGTACCTGCGCACTGGCGAGGCGACGCGGTTCCGGGCCGAGGACTTCGCCCCGCCGATCGGAGACCGTCGCGGCCACGAGCGCGGCGTGCTCACCCTCGGCTCCTCGAGCGTCGTGATCCCCACCAGGCGTGCTGGACGACACGGTCACCCTGTCAGACTGGGGCTTTCGGATCAGCAAGGTACTGGTGCTCCTGAAAGACCAGCGGGCCCCGCACGAGGCCCTGTTCGTCACGAGGCCCGCTGCCGTCAGGAAGGACTTCGATCAGGCTTTCCTCGACCTCGGGCCCGACAGGCGGAACCTCACGAGCTGCCAGCTCCGGCGCAGCGGGCCGAGCCGAGACGCCCTCCTCGGGCGCCGCGCGCTTCCCGACATCATGAAGCGCGGCAGATCGGTGAAGAGGCACGAGAGGGGCGGAGTACTGCAGAAAGCACTGGCCGGCAGCCCGAAGGAGCTACTCGACCTCGCCGTGGTTGCCGAGTCCTCCATCGCGGGAGCGCGCCTTGGACAGCCGTCCCGAGTGGCCCAGCCGCCCCGTGCCTGAAGCGCCGAGTTGCAGCCGAGATTTTCTCCGGCTCAGGGCAGCTCGCCCGCGCTCTCGCTCGGAGTGGAGTGCCCGCGGAGGCCTACGACGTCGCCGACGGCCCTGGCGCTGACTTGCGGCGGCCGAGCGTCGTGAGGCTTCTTCGGGACAAAATTCGTGCTGGCTCTTTTTGTTTCGTGTGGTTCGGTGTGCCTTGTAATGCTTTCTCACGTGCCACCGACCGTCCCAATGGCCCTCGCCCTCTCCGCTCGAACACTTATCTGTATGGTCTGCCCGACCTCGTTGCAAAGCAGCGTGCGCGTGTGTCAAGCGCCAACATGTTAGTGCGTGTTGTATGTAGTCTTGCTCGTGAATGCAACAAATGTCACGTTCCATGGGTTTTAGAGAATCCTCGGACCTCCCGCCTGTGGCTTGTAGATGAGATACGGATTCTTGAGAGGAAAGCGTCCTCCGTAGTGTTAGACTACTGCATGTATGGAATGCCCTGGAGAAAGTGCACTCGGTTTGTTGGCACTCTCCCGGGCTTGGAATCGTGGGGACGCCGATGTACGGGACGAGTGTGTCGGCGTACTGGCCACCGCCACCAGGCCCTCGAAGGCAAAGACCCCTCAGGCGCTTTCTGGACCAGGCGGGCTGAGCCATATCCCACATCTCTCTGTAATGTTATCTCCTCCTCTGTCGTCGCCTCCCTCCCTCCTCTCCCTCATTAGAACAGCTTCTGGTGCTGGGGACGGGTGGTGGACCCTCGCCGTTTCTGGACGTCTCATCGTGTCAGTTTCGCTCGGGCCCAGTCTTTAGGCAGGCGATGCCTCTAGGTGGCATCTCAATATGATTCCAGTTTCTCTGGTCTTGGCATAAAGGAGTGATTGAATGATGGGGTACTCCTGTTGCCTGGGCCGTCTCATACTTGTGGCGTCCTGGGCCCGTTTTCCGTTCCGCAATCCCACGGCTCAAGTTTTTTCAGGGTCCTCTTGCCTCCTCTCCTCCCCCGCTTCTTTCTGGGTGGTGGACCCTCGCCGTTTCTGTACGTCTCATCGTGTCAGTTTCGCTCGGGCCCAGTCTTTAGGCAGGCGATGCCTCGAGGTGGCATCTCAATATGATTCCAGTTTCTCTGGTCTTGGCATAAAGGATATATACATAGATATGTGTGTATGTATGTATGCATGCATGTACGTATGTATGCGCACGCATCGCTATTTATCCAGGGACACCAGGGAAGAGGCCCCAGGGGCTTCGACAGCCTGTCCCCCAAGGGGGAGCCAGAGGGGCCAAGATGGCGTCATGACGACCACTGGATGGCTCAAAAGAGCCCGGAGACGGTTTCAGGTGGCTATCAGGGTGGCCACGAAGTCTCAGAATCGATTTGCGTCGCTCTGAAAAGCTTCACGTGGCAACAATAAGCTTTCAATACGCCCCCAGAGCGGCCCAGGAGAGCTCCTAACCGCAGGGCGTTGATTCATTTCAGAGGTGTCGCCGCCTTGGTGTCGCGAGCATCCAAGACAGCCTGAGACGCTCCCAAGATCGCCCAACAGGGCCCCACAAGGGCTCCCAGCCGGCCCTAAGACTGCCCAAATGGCCCCGCAACGGCCCAATGGAGCCCCAAGACGGCCGAAGGGGGCGCCAAGAGGTCTCCAAGATGGCTACGATATTCTTCGAAAAAAGGCCTCGAGAGGCCCTGGGAGGGCCCAGACGGGCCCAAGATGGCCGAAGAGGGCCCAACGACAACCCTAGAGAGCCCGAAAGCGACCGCAAAAGGGCTTCAATAGACCCCTCATGGGCTCTTCGGCGCGCCCCCAGACCTCTTCTCGCGCGTCCCCTCACACGTCCCGCGGGGATCTCAGACTCCCTGTTGCATCCCTTCACGCGTTCCTTGAGCCCTCCAGATAGCCTTCAGCAGTCCGAGAGAGTTCCCGACTGAACCCTCCATTTCAGGTCGGTCACTCTGCCTCATCCTTCTTGCCGCTGTCATTGTTCCTCCCTCCTTTCTCATCCCTCCTCCCATCGACCAAGAATCAAATGACACCACCCCGCCGACGGCCCTCCGTGTTGCGTTACGGCCCATCGGGCGACGAAGCGCGTACCGCGCCAACGCCCACGCCAGATGTCTTGGTATACGCTCAGCTCCCTGGGGCCGTAGGTGGGGTGGTGTCGTTTGTTTTTTGGTCCATCCCACATTCACTGATCCTGGCCATTCCCATATCACCGGAGCTTTTCGCTTAGCTTTGCGCGCGCACCTCTGGGCAACCGACTAGTCAAGCGTCGCTCAGCCTGACGCGCGCACAGCGCGTGGACAGAGAGAGCTCCCGTATGTTTCAAGTAGTTCTCTTCCTGAGGCAATACTTAGTTGGTTGGCGACGAATTCTGGGACCTCCAGCCCGAAGCGATTGCAGGGCCTGGCGCCCCTGAGGGAGGCCATAGAGCGTCCACGGAGGCCACAAGATGACCAACGACTTTGTCGACCCCACGACAGCTAGAATTTGAATGCGCGCGAAGCGCACGGGCAATGATTATTGCAGAGGAGTTGCCTGGCGAGAGACAGTTTGAAAAGGCACCGGCCTCAATCCGTGTGGCTCCTATGGTAGTTGAGCACGTGTGTGCGCGGCGCTATCCGTAGCCTCTGGCTCATGCTCAAGCCATTGGCGAGGCGACCGGATGATGTTCCTGGTGCGGACAAAGGGCGTCGCGGCCCCGCAGACGATGAAAACACTTCTCGTCCTCGCCGCGCTTGCCAAGGCCGTGCAGGCCCGCTCGCAGAGGCAGCAGCACGTCTCCGACCGCGTGGGCGGGCGCCTGGTGCGCTCGGAGGCGCTCGTGGCCGTCGGCGCCCGCGCCAGCGTCGAGCTGCTGCAGCAGGGAGTTCCCGAGGAGGGAGTTACCGAGGAGGGGAGCTTCCTCTCCGTCGGCCAGTCCTCGCCGAAGCCGAGGCCGGCCCCGCTGACAGTCTTCTACCACGTCTATCAGTCCGTCGTGGCGGGGGGTGAGAATTTGACAGCTTCCATTGTCAAGGAGCAGATGTCTGTTGTCAAGTCCTCCGCTGCTTTCGCCGACGGCGTCACGCTAAAGTACGTCTTCGTAGGCCCCAGCGGCAGCAGCATCCCCGCGCTGCTCGAGTGCCCGACGTGCCACCAGCTCGAGCACAAGAACGCGGGGGACGAAGTCATTACCCTGCAGCATGTCTTCGACCACTGCGCACGAAACCCCTCCGAGCGAGTGCTGTACATGCACAGCAAGGGGTCCTTCCACAACACGCCGCAGAACGAGGCCCTCAGGCGCTTCTTGACGAAGGGCGTTTGGTCCGACGAGTGTCACCACATGCCCCGGGCGTGCAGCGCGTGCGCCTCCCGCTTCAGCCCGCTGCCTCACCACCACTACCCAGGGAACATGTGGCTGGCCAGGTTGATGGGCTTGTTTTCCACCACCAACACCATAAGTTGGAGGGGGGAAGGAGGTGGAGGATGAGGAGGAGGAGGAGGAGGAGGAGGAGGAGGTTGTGGTCGTGGCAGTGGAGAACAAGCCCTCCAGAGGTGCGAGTATGTATCCCGGCTGATCCCGCCCTCCAACTTTCAAGCCGCCATGGAGAGAGTGACGCTGCTCTCGGGGGCCGCGCCGCCGCTGACGTCGAACGACCACCCCTGGGAGCTCGGGCTTGGCCGGTTCGCTCAGGAGCACTGGTTGCCGTCCCACCCGAGCCACGCCCCCTGCGAGGTGTACAGCGAGACCGACTTTCTCTGGGCCTACAATTCCATCCCGACCACGACCTGGACCCCGAAGCTGCACGTGTTGCCGAGGCCAGACATGCCTCTCAGCAGGTATTGCAAAGCAAAGCCAGTGGGTGGAGACGTCGGGGTCGACCAGAACTTGACGAGGGTGAAGGCCTGGCGTCTCTTTGAGTGGCAGGCGCTGTACCCCGAGTCCTCTCCGGAGTTGGGCGTTCTTTGGGGCTACTACAAGGCGAGCGCGGGTGGCATGTGCAGCGCGCAGCTTGGAGGCAGCTGACGAAGATGCGAGAAGTGGAGTCCTGATGCCGTAAAACATTATGGGCAGTTGCGGGTGCTGTCGTTGACGATGATGATACTGATGATAAGAATGATGATGATGCTGCTGATGATGATGCTGATTCAAATGCTGATGCTGATGCTGATGATTACGATGATGATGTTGATGATGTTGCTGATGATGATGCTGCTGGTGGTGGTGATGTTGATGTTGAGTTAGTTGTTTATGTTGATGGTGATGATGCTGGTGATGACTCTGCTGATGGGTGCTGATGATGATGATGCTGCTTATGATGATGATGATGATGATGATGATGATGATGATGATGATGATGATTACGATGATGGTGATGATGATAATGATGATGGCGCTGCTGATGATGATGATGATGATGATGATGATGATGGTGATACCGATGGTGATGATGATGTTTATGATGCTGCTGATGCTGATGATGGTGCTGATGCTGACGATGAGTGAACCTGCTGATGATGGTGTTGATGATACTGATGATGATTGTGATGATGCTGGTGATGACGATGATAATACTGATGATGCTAATGGTGATGATGACGATGGCCATGATGGTGGTGGTGGTGATGATGCTGCTAGTGATGACGAGGATCATGATGGTGGTGGTTGTGGTGGTGGTGGTGCTGGTGGTAGTGAAGATGATGATGCTGGTGGTGGTCGTGATGATGCTGATGATGCTGCTGATGATGCTGATGATGATGATGATGATGATGACGAATCTGATGCTGATGGTGGCGGCGTTGATGATGGGGATCAGGAGAGGGAAGCGGGCTGCCGGCCACGTGGGGTAATATTTGAGCAGGGTGTTGCGCAACGTTGCGCCGCTGGGCAGCTGCGCTCGCGGCTCTATGCCGAGTGTATCAAATCTGCAATGCAAGGATGATGCCGGTGGTTGTGGTGATGATGGTGGTGGTGGAAAGACAGGATTGGGAGAAACAGGAGGAGGATGCCGAGGGGGAGGATGGAGGATGGATGAGGCCGTATTGTCCTTGTCGTCTTGGTGTCGTCCTTCCTCTCCTCTTCCTTCTCCTCTTTCCCTCTTGTCCCCTCTGATCTTGTCGGTTTCCAGGTGGGGTCGCCTGGCCTGAGTTGGTTCGGTACATGTTCCCCTCGTCTTGTGTGAGTTGTCTGCATGAGGTCCCATTGTGTCGGCGACCGCATTTCACCATCCGCACGGTTAATGCGCGCACGGGGATGTCAAGAGACCCCCCGCTGGACCAGGGGAAGGTGGAAGGGGAGAGGGCGGGAGAGGCGGGAGAAGGCGGAAGAGGAGGAGGAGGACGAGGACGAGAAAGAGGGCAAGGTGGACGAGAAGGGGGGGACGAGGACGAGGAGGATCAGAGTAACCACGATGACTAGGACGAGTAATCCCAAGATGCATCAGCGATGCCGCAACACACCCTCGCGTCAAAGTCCCTTCATCAGTCCCTACAGTCCTCACAGTCCCTACAGTCGGGCCGCCTACTGTGTTCCCCAATCGTTTTACAGCTTGGCTTGGGTTTTCCTTGGGGTGCTCGATGGGAATTCGAAGTTCAACTTATGGGAAGAAGGTGCCCCTCTCCTTATTTAATCGCTTCGCTCATTCCGCCGGCCCATATTGTCGCACCGTTGTGGGCTAGTCGAGTTTTGGGGCCTCTTGGGGGCTGTTTTGGGGCCTCTTGGGGCCTCTTTTGGGCCTCTTGGGCGCCTCTTGGGGCGTCTTGGGGGCCTCTTGGGGGCCTCTTGGGGCCTTTTTGGGGCCTCCTGGGCGCCTTCTGGGGCGGAGGGCTCGATTTTTCAGTTCTCGGTTCCCCTCTTGAGCCCCTCTTGGGCCCGTCTTGGGGCCTCTTGGTCCGTCTTGGGCGGCACTTGGGCCGTCTTGGGGGCCCTCCTGGGCCGTTCCGGGGCCGTCTTGGGAGCCTCGTGGGCCGTCTTGGAGCGGTCTTGGGGGCCTCTTGGGCCGTCTTGGAGCGTCCGGAAGCCGAAAAAGCCAGAACGCAAAAAACATAGAAAAAAACAATGCAAATCAACGATTTTGGCCTCTTGGGGCCCTCTTCGGAGGCCTCTTGGAAGGCCTTTGGGGCGTCTTGGAGGCCTCTTGGGCTGTCTTGGGGCCCTGTTGGGCGTCTTCGGGCGATCTTTGGTCGTCTCGGGGCCTTCTTGGACCGTCTTGGAGGCTTCTTGGGGACCTCTTGGCCCGTCCTGGGGCCCTGTAACAGAACTCCGGCATCTCTGACCCGACCTTGCCGGGGACTTGCCGGGGACTTGCCGGGACCTTGCCGGGGTACTTTTCGTCCGGGGACCCCCAGGGGCCGCCCCGCGCGCGCGAACTAGAAATACTGTTAACCAGGTACCGGAGATCTTAGCACGCCCTGGCCCGTTGGGCCGGCGAATTTAATCGCTTCGCTCATTCCGCCGGCCCTGGAGCCCTCTTTAGGGCCTCTTGGGGGCCTCTTGGGGACCTCTTGGGAGTCTCTTGGGGCTCCTTGGCGGCGTCCTGGGGGCCCCCAGGGCCTCTTGGGGGGCTCTTGGGGGCCTCTTGGGGCGGAAGGGGGGGCAGTCGATTGCGGCTCCCCCCTGGGAGGCCACGATCCTCGTGAGGGGTGTCGAAAAATTGCCTTCCCCTGGAGCTTTCTGGGGGACCTGGTCGGGGATCGGCCGGGGTAACTTTTCGTCCGGGGACCCCCAGGGGCCGCCACGCGCGCGCGCGAAGTAGAATAGTGTTAAACAGTTACCGGAGATCTTAGCACGCCTCTGGCCCGTTGGGCCGGCGAATTCAGGGTTAAGCTGGGCATGCCCCTCTACAGGAGGAACATTCAGACATAGTCAAACAATCGTACGGGGACGATTCTGCGACTATGCTGGCTTTGGCGCCTGTAGGATGACATGCCCGACCTAACTTTGGGGTTCATGAGGACAGGGTCTCGACCGTACTGTCATGTGGTGTCGCTGCGCGAAGCGATCCACTTCCTCGAAAGGCCAGCGCGCCATGGAGCCCACAGCTCGGGCGGGGGGGCTCCGTGTTGAGAGGCGCCTCTCGTGGTCAAGAGGGGAGGCTTGTAGGGATTTCTGAGAGGGGGCTTTTCGGGTCGGGCGAAAGGGGGGGATTGGGAAAGGGGGGGTACGAAATTTGCTGCATGCAGCTGGTTTCGGCCTCACCGAGGGGCCCATTCCTCGATACATAGCCGCCTCCGGCGCCGGGAGGCGCCGGGAAAATCAGCTACGGGAGCTGATTCTCAAACCCCCCCTTTGCTATCCCCCCCTTTCGCCCGACCCGAGCTTTGGGACGGGAGGGTGTTCTGCAGCATCTGTGATGTATCTTAGATTTCTCTGGTGTTCCTCCTCCCGCGCGCCTCAGGAGGCGGAGGGAGGGAGGAGGGGGAGGGAGGGAGGAGGACCTTCTGCTTCAAAGGTCCAGGATGTACAGCTAACCCGCATAGTAAGGATGGGCTACCTTCCCAAGGGTACCCTGGCGTGCTTGCCTCCTCGGCACATCCTCAGCGGCTTTCGCCGGCGAACCTCGTTCGAAACACGTTCACAGAGCCCTCCGAGGCCCTTGCGTCCTTACCGCGCATCCTTCTGATGCGGGTGGGCTTTACACAGCGCCTAATGAGCCCACAACTCAGGCGGGAGCTCCGTCTTTTAGGAGCCTGCCCTCCCATCCTTTTGCCGATAACAAGGGCTCAATGGTCGGGGAAGTACCCAGCGCCCAATGATCCCACAACTCAGGCGGGAGCTTTGTTTTAAAGAGCTTGCCCTCCCGTCCTTTGGTCTATCACAAAGGTTCAAGGGTCAGGGAAGTACCCAGCGACAACCCCGCGTTGCGAAGGGATCGCCGATCGCCCTCTTTCTCCTCAAGGGAGGAAGACCCACCCAGACACCGACAATTGGCGTTCGCTAAATGGCCCTGGGCTTTTAACTAAGCAGCCCTGCCCTGTTCGATTCCTCCCGTGGGTGCGTTTACTAAATTGCTCCGGTTATCGTTGGGATGGATTTTCTGCTCTAAAGTGCCCATCGACAAACCCGCCTTGCGAAGGAATCGCCCTTTTGTTCCGTGTAGCTTCTGAACAGGCTCAGGCTTCTTGTGCTAAGATCCATCGAGTTCTCACGCAGTAGCCTTTTTTCGAAAAATGAGTCGCCCTCCAACCGTGTACGGTCGGGCCGAGGTGTGAGGTCGAGGTCGGTTCGGGGAGGGTACCCTCATTTTCTTCGTGCTTGCTGGATGTTCTCGTGCATCCTGAAGGGGGGACCCTCGAGTACTCTTCAATTTAGCCGGCGGAGGGTCTCATGTTCTTGAATGATGTTCTTCTGTCCTTGGTCCGGCTGTAGCTGTTGCGCAAGCGTTTCTAATGGCCTTCTTCCGATCCCGCCACCGTGCTCGGGGTGCGAGTCATCGGCCTCTAGGATGTTCGTTGGGATGTCGCGGGAGGCCTCCGGGGGGCCTCTTAGGTGTTTCCAGACCTCTTGAGGTGCCGCTTCGGGGCCTTTTGGGGCGTCTTGGGCCCTCTTGGGGGTCTATTGGGGGCCCCGTGGGGCCTCTCAGGGGCCTCTTAGGGCCTACCTGGGCCATCTTCGGGCGGAAGGCTTTGATTTTCCGTTCGTGTTTCTTCTTGGGCCTTTCTGGGGGCCGTCTTGGGGCCCTCTTGGGCCGTCTTGGTGCCCTCTTGGGAGCCTCTTTGGGGCCTCTCGAAGCAGTCTTCGAGGCCTCGTGGGCCGTTTTGGAGCGTCGGTAGCTCGGAAAGGCGAGAAACCCTCAAACATTGAACACCTACAGGAAATCAATGATGTCTGTCTCTCGGGGCCCTCTGGGTACGCCTCCTGCGGCTCTCTTGGGGCCTCTCGGAGGCTTCTTGGACCGATCGTCCGGCGATGTTGGGCCCTCTTGGACCGGCTCGGCTTCCTCTTGGGGCCCTCGTGGCTCGTATGGGAGCCCACCTGGTCACGAACAAAACTCACGCGGGAAGCCGCGGCGCGCCCCAGGAGGCACG